GCATCCACACCTGAAGACAGGCGGGCGATCCAGGCTGACCTGGACAGGCTCAGCAAATGGGCGGATGAGAACCTGATGGTGTTTAACACTGAAAAATGCAAGGTTCTCCACCTTGGGAGGAAAAACCTGCAGCATCCTTATAGGCTCGGCAGTGCTACGCTGGCTAGCACTACGGAAGAAAGAGACTTGGGGGTTATCACTGACCACAATATGAACATGAGCCTGCAATGTGATGCTGTGGCTAATAAAGCGACCAAAACATTGGCTTGCATCTATAGATGCTTCTCAAGCAAATCCTGGGATGTCATTCTCCCCTTGTACTCAGCCTTGGTGAGGCCGCAGCTGGAGTACTGTGCCCAGTTTTGGGCTCCACAATTCAAAAAGGATGTGGAGAAGCTTGAGAGAGTCCAGAGAAGAGCCACGCGCATGATCAGTGGTCAGGAAAACAGACCATATGACGACAGGCTGAGAGCCATGGGGCTCTTTAGCTTGGAAAAGTGCAGGCTCAGGGGTGATCTGGTGGCCAACTATAAGTTTATCAGGGGTGACCACCAGTACTTGGGGGAACGTTTGTTCGCCAGAGTGCCTCAAGGGATGACGAGGTTGAATGGTTATAAATTACTGTAAGACCGTTTCAGGCTGGACATAAGGAAGAATTTCTTTACTGTCCAAGCCCCCAAAGTCTGGAACAGCCTGCCACTGGAGGTGGTTCAAGCACCTACATTGAACACCTTCAAGAGCAAATTGGATGCTTTTCTTGCTGGGATCCTATGACCCCAGCTGACTTCCTGCCCTTTGGGCAGGGGGCTGGACTCGATGATCTTTCCAGGTCCCTTCCAGCCCTAAAGTCTATGAAATCTATGAAGTCTATCAAATCACTGAACCCAAACAATCAAACTCAAGCCTACTATGGGGCAGCACAGAGTAAACCCTAAATCACAGAGTTGGAAGGGACTCTGATGGCCATCTAATTCAACCTGAAGTGACATCTAATTACCCAAAAAGCAAACCAAGTAAGGAAAAAAGAATGCTTGGTTATTTCCTCTATTTGGAAGTTGAATTTAAAACTATGATAATTTGACAAAATTGTAATATCAGATCATCTGCATACCCCCTTATGCTGACTGAGGGACAGCACTTGCAAAAACTCCAGAGAATGCAGAAACCACAGCAGATTGAGAGAACAGCTGATTATAACATACTCATGATCTGAAGTCACATTATTGTGATCATGACCTGTTGTAACCTTGATCAGAAACTTACTTTCTAATTCCTCCTTCTTCCTTCAGTATACCTCGTTTGTTCTTATCCACAGTAAGGTTAAGCAGAACTCCACAGGCAGAAAAGCATACATCTTGATGTTTGGCATCGAGCAAAGCAATCATGAACTTGTAGACTGGATTGTACAGCAGGAAACAAAATTACCCCCAAGAAGATGGGCGTGGATTACAAAGGGCATTATACAAATGGAACAATACACTTATTAAATTTGTATGCTCAGAGAAGGAGCCAGAACCACCTGAAAATGTTACCTGATACCATGTTAGCTCAATGTTGCTAGAATTGCCTAAGGCAGGGGTGGGCATTGTTTCAGCTGGCAGGCCACTTAACGAGTTTTGGTGAGCTGTCAAGGGCCACACACAAAATCTTTCAGAAGATATCATTTTAACAAATTACAGATAAAAAAAAACCACATCATATATTAAAAATCAAATCTCTACTATATTTTAATTTTATTTCAAAATATATTTGTGTCATGATTTATGGTTTTTTGAGTAGTGTATATAGAGATGATTGAATAATAGCTCAAAATAAAGTCTGACTCTTGTATACTGTGTGTGCGGGGTGGGGGGTGGTGTGCGAGGGGCTGCCTGTGTGCTAGGTCACAGGAGCTGGCCAGGGCGGGGGAAGGAAGAGGTGGCAGGGGGCATGTGCCGCAGAACTCGCCCAGGTGGTGCAGTGCAGGTGTGGCCTGTCCTCCTCCCCACGCCCCCATTCAGACCATGGTTGCCCTCCATGGTGCACTGCATGGGGCTGAGCCCCACCCAGGGCAGCCCGCATTGTGCCTCTGCCCACACCCACCAATCGCACTGGCCAGCATGCACAACTTGCCAGTGGAGTTGCCATCTACCCACTCAACTGCCCAAAGGTAGTGTAAATATAGCAACAAATATGCTTATCTCACCAGGCAGGCAGAGTGGATGGAAGGCAGCCAGGAGCTGTAGCTGTAACCCCACATGCTGGGGCAGCTTCCTCCCTGCGCTATCTGGTGCCTGGAATGGTGCAGCAAGGGCAGGAGGAGGAGAGGAAGAGGAGCTGCCACTGGAGGCAGGGAGAGCTAAGCAGTACCCAGGAGGCTGTGGCGGCAGCAGGAGCAGCCTCACCAGGAAGCTGTGCACACTAGCCAGGGCTGGGACTGTTGGTAGGTGCGTGGCTGGTGTCCCAGCTGGAGCTCAGCCCTATGCAGAGTGCTGCAGGGGCAGCCACAGGCTGGAAACAATCATTTGGCGGGCTGGATCCAACCTGCAGGCCATATTTTGCCCACCCCTGACCTAAGGATACTGGATATTGGTCATTACCACATATTGGTCACTTGAACACTGATTTCTCTAATCTCCCTAAAGGAATTCTCATTAATATTTGTATTAGTATTTGGATATTTATTTGGTATATTTTAATGCTTTGGCTAAATTGAAAGTGAGATAATTGTTTAGTTTATATTTATTTAGTGTTGCTACCTTTTTATGTACTCTAGGGAAAATTTTCAAACTCAGATGCCTAAAATAAAGTTAACTTAAAACAACTTTGGGCACCTACCCAAATTGAAGCGACAGATAGGCAATTTCATGGGCCAATACTGGTGCTCACTGCTATTTTCATGGGCTTATCACAGTGCCTGCCCTCCCCCCAGCCACTAATTGGCTGAGGGGCCCCAGTGGCTCTGCCTCTTGCCGATGATTGGTAGAGGGCTGTCCTTCACATGGCCCTGCCCCTTGTTGCTGACTGGTGGAGAGGGTGGGGCTGCATGAAAGGCAGCCCTCAGCCAATCAGCAGTGGAGGAAGTGGCTGCCATCTTGGCTGCTCCCCTTTGCCCTGGCAGATTCCCCCCATAGTGGGCTGCGAGGCCAGGCCACAGCAGCCACTGGCTCCCACTGGGGAGCTAGCATTTTATTTTTAGTAAGTTTTTTTTTCTGGCAACTGCATACAAAATTGTGGAAACTGCTGTTTTTCGCAGTATTCACAGAAACCGCCATTTTTTGTGGTTTCCATGAAAATGTGATTTGAGTAGGTCCCTACACATAAGTATATGAGTTCAGAGGTACTGAACTCCCCTTTACTTCAGTTTGAGCTAAAGGTCCTCACTGATTCTGAAAAAAAATCAAAACACCTATATAGATGCCTAAAAATAGGTACCACATTTGAAAATACAGGTTTAACCCTCAGCAGGAATGAGATCTCTGAACACTTCAAGACACAGCTCGAAAGGAGATGTCCTCAGGGGTGGATCTGGGTGGGGGAGGGTAGCAGCGGTGTTACAGTGGCACCCCCCCTTTGATTCCTGTTCCACCCAAACTTTAAAAACCAACTGCCTGGAAGAGGCAGCAGCATTTCAATTCAGGCAGTGATGAGGGAGCCAACTGAATCCATGCCTCATTTTAATGCATCTGATTCCTGTTAATCTCTCTCCACTCTAGAGTTAATGAACCCACCTCTCTCTTTTTTTTTAATGATTTTGATATTCCAATAATCAAGCTATCCTTTCTTCTTCAATTTTGCTGTCTGTTAGTTATTCTTGGTTAGTTATCCCTGCAGACTGTTTAATTCAAGCTAAAAACCTTTACTCAAGTGTGGAAATGATTGACAGCGAAGTGTTGGAAGTACTGTCAAGATACTCAAGAAGGCTAGGTATTGTATTATGAATCTTATTAAGAGATGTACATTTAACTATAATGACCACATGACCAATAAAACAATATTTTTATACTATTTTGCCTAGGTTGTTCTGTTTTTTAATACTTTATATATTAAGCTAGCTAATTAGTACACATTGCAATAGTTACATTTGTTTTTTGCTTTGCTCTTAAACCAAAAAATATAGTACGGACCCTTAGCAGACTAGTTTCTCTCTGACTGTAGAAAAATATATGTTGTATTATATGTAATAATTCACCACACCACTTGCACCCCTTTTCAAAATCCTAGATCAGTCCATGGATGTCATAACACAAGAAAATTACAGAGAAGTGGCAGTAATTAAATTTTTACAAGATACTTTCTCTGGATGGCGAAAGAGCTGTCATTTGCTCTAGGGTTTCTCATCCATCAAAAGGAAAAAATGACAGACTACTGCGGGGGGGTCTTACCCTTATACTTTTTTGTTGTCTTCTAATGAGGCCATTACATGTTTTTGAAAGTATACAAATGAACACCTGAAGCATAGTCATATACAAAAATCAGGGTCCTGTAAATCTAAACTTTTAAAAATATTTACATTTTATTTTATTATACTGAATCACTGCTGACAGAATCAATAATGTGGATGCTAAGGAAGAGCTAGCAAGAAATTTCAAAATTGTTTATAATAATTTAAAAGAAAAAAATACTTTCTGCATTTTTTTCTGTGCAACAAGTTTCAATGCACTTTCCCCCTCAAGTAACCTTGAGGTCAATAACACCCTAGTAAAAGTGGACTCATTATTCTTGTTGGTACTCTGGCTACTGGATTTTTCAATTCTACATTAAGTCAAACCTCTTAAGACTGCTTGCTTATGTTTAGAATTATAAGCATCCACTTAAATAGGTTAAAAAGCATCACTACTTATGCAATAGGAACTTACTCTTTCTCTTCACAATGAAGTCACAGATTTCATGGTACTGGGAAAGATTACCAAAGACTCTCACAGCCTCCAGAATTCCATCCATATTGCTGCTCATTAGCAGTTTTAAAAGCACTATTGATTTACAGAGAAACAGAAAAGTACAATTACCATTACTTATATATAGCACAAAATGCATGCTTCATTCTTTACAGATAAACGTGAGGATAAACCTCTTTGCCGACGGATTTACAAACAAAATGGAACACGTAAATGTAGGATGGGACACAAAAAAATGAAGTGGCAAGCATGAGCATATGTACAAGTTATTCCATTGTTTGAATATCTGCTTAGTCAATATTTCCTGGAATGGTTTTTATTTCAATGGGTAGAGAAATGTGGTACACTGGCTCACTGCAGACCTGGGAATGATCTAGAGAAGGATTGGTGAGGAATGGATTTAGAACCAAAAGGAGCTGTTAAATTAGCATATTTTGGGGAAATCAGATTGCTATCCCCAGTTCTGCCAGAGATTGGAAGACTGGCATGGCTGAAGAGATAGAAAAGGCACAGGTAGAGGGCAGAGAAGAGGTGATTGCCACAAAGTGAGAAATGGCTGGGTTCAGACAGAGGTTTCTGCAGAAGGAACCAAGAGGAGTGGATGGATCTTGGACATACTCCGTAGGGAAGACAGCAGGATTTAGGGATAACATTAGTCTGTGGAGGGGAAGCAGAAGGGAGTCAAAGATAGTAAGCAAATTGGGCAGAAATGATGGTGGCTTTGCTGACAGAAATGGAGGATGATGTTAAATGAGTCCCTTACTTGAACCATATTCCTACTGATGGCAATGGAAGTTTATTAAGAATAACAGAACTCTGTCTTATTGAACCATTATCTATTACAATATAATTATATTTACAAATACAAAGCATCAACTCAAATACAGCCAACACAATTTATTGACACTGAAATTTATCTGAAGGCTTTTCCTGCTGGCCACCTCCCTACCCTGTTAACTTCATATTGAGTAGGTTGCATGACATTCCTGTATTTTTAGAAGAAACAGCTGGGTCTCCACCATTGCCTGGAAGGGGCAATTTGCCCTAGAAGATTTCATTGCACAGTGATGGAGCACTGCAGGCTCCATCATTCATCAACCTTCACAGAAAGCCTCCATGATGAAAGATGGAGCCACTAGGACTGTCACTCAATACATAAGGGATTACATAATAGACATCTATACTTTTGCCACAGAGAAAAGAGAAGTAGTTGGCTTCCCTCTCATTCCTTTGGCTGTTGCCAGACTTGGGTTAAACTTGATTCAGACAGTTCTGAAGTGGTAATCTTTTTTCTCCAAAATCCACCCAAGCTACATCAAGCAGCAACATTTCTTAAAATGCTTCCTAGGAGAAGCAACTTGTTGACCCTCTGGCTAAAAGTGCTTTAACTCTCCTACAAACTGCTCAATTCAACCAGGGAGATAGCAGTAGGTAAAAACGGTTGACAATTAGAAAAGGCAGCCTGTAGTATGGAAGAGAGGTGGAATTCAGCTTCTGGTCAATAGCTTTTGGGCATCGTTGGCTCTAGGATATTTTCAATCTGTATTTCCACCACTCTATTATGTTCTATGGTTCTGCAAAGCCATCTGCTCAGCAAACAGACTTGCAGAATTGAATTCATAATGAAATCTAAAATACTGTTACAAACATGGGAACAAAAGCATTTTTAAAAGAGCCCCATCTTAAGAGATGAAAATCTGAGGTAGCATTATCCTGGCTAGAGACAGACATTCAAAAGGTCTGAGCCTGAATTGATTCAATATTTGCAGGTTAGTCTAACCTGCAGAGAGTGAACTGATTTGCAAGTGGATAGACGTTCACTTTTGAATCAGGAAATGCAGGCACATGTCTGCAGTGGCTCAGTCTAGAAGTTGCGGGGGTGCTAGAATGAGCCCTGCCTTCCCTTCCACAGTGCTGAGCTGAGAGGGGATGTCGCCAGGCCCTGGCAGGACGCTATGATTAGAGAAGGGTTTAGACTCCCACCCAGGGCAGCACAGTCCCCAGCCAGAGAGTGCCTGGAGGGTGAAGCAGCCCTTGCCAGGCTTCCCCCTCCCCAGCTCGCTGCTCAAGCCCTACGAAAGAAAATATGCATCTCTCTCATTAGGTTCAAGAACTTCTTATTTGCAGGGTTTATTTGCAGTTGCAGGCCACTGGCATCTAGCTCTAAGCAGACACTGTTCTGTCTGCCTTTGTTCCAGTGAAATCGGAGAGACACACAAAGACAGCTCTCAGCATTAGCTAGAATGGGAAGGGGGGGCATGGCCAGATGCTGGCTTGGGTCTGTTCTGCTGGGGTCCCTGCCATGGGAGAGGGGCGGGAGGGGGAGATCCCTGCTTGAGCAGTAGGGGGGGGTG